GACCTCCCCCTCCCGGTCGCCACCCCGCCCACCGCCTGGAGGGTGAGAGGGTGGGTTTAGTGCGCACGCGCAGGCCGGCCGCGCGTGGCGGTTGGAAGGCGGGGTCCTGAGCTTCGGCTCCCGCAAGTCCACCAACAGGGAGAGAGGTCCGGGGAGGCACGACGCATGGCCTCTGATGACCCCAAAGCCCGGACCGACAGCCCCCACGTCCTAGCATATCTCCAGGCTAGCTTTCAGTTGAGATCTCCTTTAAAGCTGGGTCAGGACACTGGAACCATAGGCTCTGCAGCCAATAGTTTCGCGCACAGTAAACGTAGTAGCCAATCAGAAGGCGCAGCTGCAGGGGATGGGTGGGAACAACCCCTCTCGCGGTGACTCCCTAGCAGGGAGGGGAGAGCGTCCCCATCTGTTGATAAGGTTCGTGTGGGTAAAGGCCAGACGCGAGGCTCACGTGCTGTATCCCAGAAGCGTGATAGCGGAGCACCAGGACACTGAGGAGGAGAGTAAGAAAGGTAAAGCAAGGAAAGGGATGCAAACACCTTCCAACCTCCATGTCACTTCAGGATAGCCAGTGATCTATTGTCCAGGAAGAAAAGGTAGAGTCGGAGAGGGAAGGATGGGGCACCTCTGTGGCACCTACCTGCGGACTGGTGAGGATACCGAGAGAGGCAGTGTTTTACCTTTGTTTGCGCAGATGGAAAGGGCCCATCACTGTCACGCCTTTCCCCAGCACTGGACTCACTGATATAATGTGGAAGAAGTGGAAGGCGAACTGTTAGGAGTTGAGATGGGGCTGGTGTCCTCTCCTCTTTTCCCAAGGTGGGGGAATCCTGTTCAGCCCTTAGGACTTCACTGGTGTCTTAGTTACGTTTCTTGTTGCTGGAACAAAATACCCAACGCTCAAAATTAAAGGAGGAAAGATTTATTTCAGCTCACATTTTGTAGAGGTTTCAGCCCATAATCTCCTGGCTCCAATGCAGGGTGGATGGCAGAGGGGCATCACGAAGGAGAAGCTTTATGGCTGGCAGAAGGTTGCAAAACAATAAGGGACGACCACAGCTCTTTTTGCCCGTTATCCTATCCAGGATGCTTAGGGAGGGTAGTACGCACACCCTTTATCCTAGTGGCCTTAGCATTGCACCATACATTCTAGATCCAGCCACCTCTAAGAAAGCCCCATCTAAGATTGCATGAGGCTTTGGAGGGACATCGAGACACAAGCCATAACAACTGGTGTATCCATATTCATATAATCAGATCATGCGTTCTTCATTTATTATTTTCTTTCGACTTCGTTCAACGAATAGTGTTTGAACATCTGTGTCGTGCCAGGGAACAGAGGGCATGCAGAAATGCACTCTTTGGGGGCTAAGGACGAGATGGAGCAACTGTGGTTCATCCTGTAGATTCCATCTCCCTCAAGCAGCTACCAAACAGTGTAGGTCAGAGTGGAGATACTAAGACTCCACAGGAGCCAGACTCCACATGTTGGCAGGGTGTGGTGGTGAGAGCAGGAGAACCTGCCCTGGGAGTGTCTGAGAAGCCAAAAATGGAGGACATTCAGGCTGGGAATTTAGCTCAGAGGCACAATGCTTGCCTCAAAAGCGCAAGGTCCTGAGTTGAATCCCTGGTACCAAAGTGGGTGGGGGGATGAAAGACATTCAAAGAGGAGTTCGGAGGGGCATAAGGAGCTGAGAAGCATAGTCGAGCAAGCGTCTGCTTCAATTTTGTCGTTTTTGTTTTTTGAGACAAGGTCTCATTATTTAGTTCAGGCTGGCCTTGAACACACAGCTATCCTCCTGCCTCAGCCTACTGAGTACTGGGATTATAGGCACACACCACCACACCCAGCTGTTTCAATTTTTTCTATGTTGATTCATACTCATGGTTAAAATAAATAATACAAAAATAAGAAAAAATAAAATAGATAATACAACTATTTGGATGTGGTGGTGCACACCTGTAATACCAGCACTTCAAGGCTGAGGCAGGAAAATCACCTTGAATTTTTTTATTTGTTTGTGTGTTTGTTTTTTTGAAACAGGGTCTCACTATGTAGTTGAGACTGACCTGGAACTCACTATGTAGCCCAGGCTGGTCTCAACTCACAGCGATCCTCCTGCCTCAGCCTCCTGAGTGCTGAGATTATAGGCATGCACCACCACGCCCAGCTAATCGCCTTGAATTTGAGGCCAGCCTGGGCTACATAGTGAGCTCAAGGCCAGTTTAACTACAGAGCAAAACCCTATCTCAACAACAAACAAAAAGGCCAGGCGTGGTGGTGCACACCTGTATTCCCAGTACTCAGTAGGCTGAGGCGGGAAGATCACTGCAAGTTCAAGGCCAGCGTGGGCTACATAGTGAGTTCAAGGGCAGCCTGAACTACATAGCGGACACTGTCTCAAAAAAAAGATGAATTATTGGAAGAATTAAAGGAAAGATAAACTGGGGGTGGTGCTGCTCCTCTGTAATCCTAGTATTTGAATAACTGAGGCTGAAGGATCTGCAGTTTGAGGTCAGCCTGGGCTACATATCAAGACACTGTCTGAAACAAAAGAAAACAAATGAACCAAACTCCCAAGAAAATATCATTTTGTCCATATATGGTGACACATGCCTGTAATCCCAGCACTCAGAAGGCTGAGGCAGGAAGATTGTGCAAGTTTGAGGCCACCCTGGGTTATATAGTGAGACCCTGTCTCAAAAAAGCAAAAAAGAAAGAAAATATAGCCAGGTGTGGTGGCTCACGCCTATAATCCCAGCATTTGGGAGGCAGAGGCAGGAGGATCACTGTGAGTTCAAGGTCAGCCTGAGCTACATAGTGAGTTCAGGGCCAGCCTGAACTATAAAGTGAAACCCTGTCTCAAAAAAACAAAAAAAAAAAAGAAAGAAAGAAAATACATATTTGTATACTGATGATGCACATTCCAAATGTGCATATAACATGTAATGATTTATATAATGTGTAATGTCCTTATCTTCAAACATTTGTTATTTCTATGTGTTGAAAACCTTTTAACTCTTTTTTTCTAGTTATTTTCAAAAATATGGAACACTTCACAAATCTGTATGTCATCCTTGCACACAAACTATGCTGATCTCCTCTATAGTGTCCCAGTTTGGGTATATGTGCTGCTGAATTGAGCATAATACTATCCTTTTCTTGTATGTGTATGTGCTAATAGGGATTGAATCCCAGGGCCTTTGCACTGAGCTACATCCTTAGCAACCCCTCCCCCCGGCCTTTTTGAGAAAGAGATTAAGTCACATGTTACCCAGGCCGGGCTCAAACTTGCCATCCTCCTGCCTCAGCCTCCCAGAGTGCTGGGATTACAAGCATATGCCACCTTGCCTGGCCACAATACCATTCTACAAATTACTACAAAAAGCAGAAATACAAAGCATGGGGCTGGGGATTTAGCTCAGTGGCACCATGCCTGCCTTGCAAGTGCAAGTGTCCTCAGTTCAATCTCTGGTACCAAAAAGAAAAAGGAAAAGAAAATATGGTTTCTAGTTTATTTTAGGAGAACAGCCTAACCTTGGTACAAAAATCTGACCTGAGGGCCGGGGATTTAACTCAATGGTTCTGCCTCCTACCTCCCATGCAGAAGGACCTGAGTTCGATCCCTGGTCCAAAAAAAAAATCTGACCTGAGGAGATTTGTCCACCTGACCTGTACACTGAAGAATGATTAAAGTATGTATATTTTACCAAAAAACCACCAAGAAAGTATAGGAAAAACACATAGTAATATCTCCTGACTATAGATAATCATAAACAAAATAATATCAATTTGAATAAGCAATGTAAAAGGGTAGTGTTTAATGAGCAACACCTTCTAGAAATGTAAGGTGGTTTACTATTTGAAAACCAATGAAATTTAACACAAATAAAATAAAATGCATATGATTATCTCAATAAAGAAAGAACATTTTGATGAAAATCAATACTCATCAATCTAGGAATAGCAGTGAACTTCATTAATCTCATAAAGGGCATCTAAAACACTACAGGGTTATATTTTGCACTGGGACTGGTGGTGCCTATAATTCCAGCACTCAAGAGGCTGAGGCAGGAGGATTGCTTTGAGTTTGAGGCTGGTGTGGGCTACATATAGTAAAAGACAAAAGAAAACACTTTCTCTGAGATCAGGAAGAAGATAAGGGTTTCCTCTATCACCCTATCATCACATCTGCATTGTACTAGAAGTTCTAGTAAGGGCACTAAGACAATAAAAGAAAATAAAGGTATAAAGTCTGGAAAATAATTAAAACTGTCATTATTTTAGATTATGGAATTGTATATGTAGGAAAACCAAAAGAACCTACAAACTCTTGCATTAATAAGTTGCAAATTGCTAAGCTTGCAAATAATTTTAATAATTTATTCAATTAATAAGTATGGGCTGGGGGCTGGAGATTTAGCTCAGTGGTGACGCCACCTGCCTCACAAACACAAGGTCCTGAGTTTGATCCCTGGTACCAAAACAAAACAAAAAAACCCTACAATTATAAAATGAAACTTTAAAATATACCTTTTATTTATTTATTATTATTATTTTTTGGTTACTGGGGATCGAACTCAGATCCTTGCGCTTGCAAGGAACTAAATCCCTAGCCCTAAAATATACCTTTTAAAGAAGATATTTTAGAGCCAGGCATGGTGGCACACACCTGTAATTCCAGCATTCTTGGAGGCTGAGGTAGGAGGATTGATTGCCCCAAGTTCCAGGCCAGCATGAACTACATAGTGAGACCCTATTTTAGACCTTGAAAAGAAGGTGGGGGGAGAGGGAGAGAGAAAGAAAGATTTAAATACCATTTTAAATAGCAAAAGAGTAGCGGGGCATGGTGGCGCACACCTGTAATCCCAGCACTCAGGAGGCTGAGGCAGGAGGATCACTGTGAGTTCAAGACCAGCCTGGGCTACATAGTGAGTTCCAGGTCAGTCTCAACTACATAGTGAGACCCTGTCTCAAAAACCAAACAAACAAAAACCAAAAAAAAAAGGCCAACCATAGAGAAGCAGAAGATATTAACAATACATGACCCAGGAAGGGTTTGTGTCCAGGAACAAAGAGTTTAATGTCAATAAGAAAAAAAATCTAATTGTAAAGAGAGGAAGGCAGAAGAGTAAAAGCCTAGGATAGGTACTTTTCAGAAGACACCCTGATGGCTGAACAAGAGCAGAAAATGCTACCCAACATCATTCCTCACCAGGTAACACAAGTTAAACCTCCAGGGTTCTATTACCACACGTACCTCTACTAACATGGTGAAAGTAGAAAAAGGACTAACAAGTCCCAGTAATGGCAAGGATGTGGCATAACTGGAATGTCTGCGCAGTGCTGGTGGGACTGTAAATTGGTTCCATCATCCCAGCAAACTGACAGTATCTTCCAAAGCATCTTAAACATAGGCCTGTGCTGTGATGAGGAAGCAGTTATTATACCCTCATACAGAAATCCCTTTTTTTTTTTTTTTTTTTTGGTACCAGGAATCAATCAAACTCAGGACCTTGCACTTGTGAGGCAGGTGAGGCCCCACTGAGGTAAATCCCTGGCCATACCCAACAGCAGTGAGGGTTTAGGTCCCTGAAAAGAAATAGACAAGAATGTTAATGGCAGTTTTATTCCTCATAGTCCCAAATTTGCGGTAACCCAGATGACCATCTGCATTACTGTCATTTATACCTGACAGTATAAATACATTAAGGAACGTGACGCAGAGGTGAAAAATGACTGTGGCACTCAGAAACATAGGTGGATCGCACTCAATAAGGCCACAGGTGGGTGTGGCCTTCTGGGAGATTGAAGCAGGAGGATTGCAAGTTTGAGCCCAGCCTGGGTAATTTAGTGACAACATGATTCTATCTCAAAATAAAAAATAAAAAAGGCTGGGGATATAGCTCAGTGCAAAGGTCTTGGATTCAATTCTAGTACTGCCAAAACAAAACAAAACAAAACATAAAAAGAAAAGAGAATAGATGAAACTAATTTATGGTGATAGAAATCAAAATAGTGATTAACTCAGGGTCAGGGTAGTGGCTAGCTAGGGTATAGGCAAGGGGGAGCCTTTTAGAGTGTAGAAATGGTTGTATATCTTGATTTGAGTAGCGGTTGCACAGGTGTATGCACATATACAAATTGGGCTGGGGATTTAGCTCAGTGGTACCGGGCCTGAGTTCAAACTGGTACCAGAAAAAAAACTCTGTGCATATATACAAATTAATTGTGCCTTACACTTAGGATTTGTGCAGCTTTAAATCAGACATGATGGCACATGTCAATATTTGGGAGACTGAGGCAGGATAATTATAAGCCTGAGGCCACATAGCGAGAACCGGTCTAAAAAAAGGATTAAAAAAAGGGTTGGGAATGTAGCTCATTGCTCCCTGGGTTCAATCTCCAGAACAGAGGTGGAGGGGGGCCTTAAAAGAAAGAAACTGGGTTCAAATCTGGGTTCATCTTGGACTTGTTGACCTGGACAAGTTGCTTCACTTCTCTGGTGGTCTCAGTTTTGATATACCACTGGGGAAAGGAAGGGAAAATGCTTTGGTAACTGTAAGGTTCTGAGTGATGATTTATCAGGGTCCCTTGCTGGCAAGTCTGGGGCATTGCAGAAGCGGTGCTGCTGAGGAGGGCTATGCAGGACCAGAGGGCACAGTGAGGGTGGGAAAAGGCTTGCTCAGCCATGCCAGAGGTCTCCTGGCCCACAGCCTTCCTCTATACCAATGGAAGTGCAGGGGTTGGGCAGCTCTGAGGCAGTGAAGTGAGGTATCCTGGGAGTGAGGGGCTCCCCGGAGGGTTGTCTGCACGAGGCATCTCCCTAGGTTGGGAAGAAAAGTCCAGTACAACCTTTGGGTCCTGTTCTTCACCCTGGCTCATGCCCTCAGACCCCCATAGAAAGTGAGCATGTGTCTAGGTTCTGGTTGCCTTCCCTGAGACCTCATCCTGACCATCCCTGTCCACCATTCTGAGTGAAATCAGAGGCTTCCCCCAGGATGGGGATGGGGTGGCCCAAAAGTAGATCCAGCAACCAAGGAGGCTTGGTTGGGACAGGTTGGGAAAGCGAAGCTGCCTCCTGAACTTCACCTAGACTGAGTTCTCCGTGTGGCAGCGTGAGTTTATCTGGCTATATGACACCTACCTGATAGTAAGAGTACACAGCTTCCTTGTGAGGAGGGCTAGGCTGGGACTGGGAGGGGTGGGCCATGCACATGGGTGAGGACAAGTCTGTGATAGCCTCCTTGTTGATCTGTCTCTTCTTTGAACAGATTTCCCCCAGCCCCGCCTAAGCCAGACTTCAAGGCTTCAAAGGAAAAGCTCTGTCACCTGGGAAGTTTGCCAAAATGAACCAGGAGCTAGAAGGGTGAGATCCACCTCCTTTCCTAGCTGGTGGCCAAGCCCTGGCCCTACCCTACCCCAGAGCTCCAGGATTTCTTTCCCAACTGTGCCCTGACTTCTTTGGTCTTTTTGAAATACTGCCAGGATGCATGCTGGGCCCGAACACTGAGGTTCCCCCGGAGTGGGGGTCTGAGACCAGGGTGAGGACACTGGACCAGCAAAGGGCTCCCAGGGGTCTCAAGCCCCCATCTCATCAGCTCCTCAAGTGGCATGTGACTAGACATGAGAGGTGCAGGTGCCCAGCCCAGTAGCTCTTTTGTGTATGAGTCACACTCTGTGTGTCAGTTGAGTGTGTGAGAGAACAGAAAGGAGCTCCTCAGAGGGTGTCTAAGGAACACTGTCTGCAGATGAAACTCTCATCACCAGCATGTCAGGGCTCTTGGTGACCTCTGGGGCACACTCTGGATTCAAGCAAGGCCTCAAGTCCATGGCAAGGTTAAGGCCCAAACTGGCTGTGGAAGGAATGTTCCTGGTGGGGCCTGGCTCTGGGTGCCTGTGCTTCCAGACTCCTGGTTACCCAGATAAGTGGGGTCCTATTCTCCCTTAGGAAGATGATGTCTTTGAACCTGAAAGGACCTTTTTGCTAGAATACCACACCTAGCTGGGCGTGGTGGCACACGTCTGTAATCCCAGCACTCAGGAGGCTGAGGCAGGAGAATCGCTATGAGTTCGAGACCAGCCTGAGCTACAGAGTGTGTGCCAGGTCAGTCTCACTACATAGTGAGACCCTGTCTCAAAACACC